TGCGAGTCTTCTTGCCTTCTGTAGAGGATCACAGGTGCTGATCATTGTGTTAGGCAACACGACCTATGGGTCGATTTCTCGCACGGCGCAATACATTTCCGATATCCCGCCTCATCCGGAGGTTGCCCAGTTCACTATCCTGTTTCCAACGACGGAGGAGGATATCATCTCTCGGTGGAGAGAACATTTACAATCCGTTAGAGATCGCGTTGGGAAGAATGCGAAAATTGTTGCTATCGTGGACGCGATTATCTCTAATCCAGGCGCTCTTCTTCCTTGGGAGGTCATGACGAATATCTGTCGCGAGTTTGACGTGTGGAGCGTTGTCGATGCAGCGCATGCCATTGGACAAGAACTGGGAATCCAGTTGGATCGAGCCAAGCCAGATTTCTGGATAAGCGTGAGTAGAGTGGTACACACTGAAGAGCTTTCCGACTGACGGCGCGTTAGAATTGTCACAAGTGGCTGTTCGCAAAGAGGGGTGCTGCGATGCTGTATGTTCCTAAGAGGTGGGCGACGCGATCGTACAGCTGTTAATTTGTATCCACTGATCGACTATCCACATAGGAACCAGCATATTGTCAAGTCGACCTTTCCGACGTCAGCTGCGTACATCTCGCCCAAAGATCGTACAGGACCAAATTTCGTGGAGCAGTTCGAATGTTAGGCTCCTTTGTTTCGGCCTTGAGTCGCTTGTTCATATTCCCTTAGGGACTGGGACTGTGGACTGGGCACCGTACCTCAGTATTTCTGCGGCACTTGATTTCCGCCAGTGGCTAGGTGGAGAAGGTGTCATTAATGAGTATTGCCATAACCTAGCCATTGAAGGGGGTAAGGCCCTTGCGAAGGTCCTGGACACGAAAGTTATGGACGAAGACGGCCGATTTACTGCGCATATGGTACTTATGGTCCTACCCCCTCTAGAGTTAAGATTTGTTGCTGATTTTAATGCTTCTAGGTCAACGTGGTCATGCCTCTTTCGGGTGACGTGAAGCCGACGGTTGAATTGGATTTGATGTTCAAGAATAAGCTGCTCGTCAAACATAATGTGTACGCCGCCCATTACTATCATAATGGGATGTGGTGGGTAAGATGTAGCGCACAGATTTGGAATGAGGTACCTTTCTTTTGTCCGTGTACCATGCCTCTTGTAATAAAGTTTGTCAGGTCGAGGATTTCCAGAAGCTCGGGACTGCTCTCCTTAGCGTATGCGATGAGACCAAGAAAGAGTATAGAGCAAAATGAACGGCGACATTAAGGACGCGCAGGTACCCCCTAGGAAAATGTACTCTGAATTCATTGATAAAGTCTAGACGGGCGCGCACGATGTGGCGCGCCGTGGTAACCGCAGTCCTCCGACAAAAGTCGTACGAGGAACAAGCATAAAGGAGGTTGCCCTGGTCGATTGAACCTTTCAATGCGGTTGCTTTGATATTTTAGCCTGGCCATTTTCCATTTTCCATTTTCCGTTCGTCTAGATGACATGCCTTGAGTCAGATAGAGGACCTAATATTTAGGCAAAGAGAAGCGGTGCAAGAATAATCACGCTGATATTTTCTCCAGTGGCGGATACCGGTACGCCCTGTTTCATATACAGATTCCGGATGGTTACTCACCGCCATGGACATGAAAGTTTTTTTCCGCATGTCATAATCTTGAGGCAAGGAAGGTGTTCAGGGAAGCGACATTTTCACGGCTATACAAGTATATTGGCGGCATTTACGTGGGAGGCCGACCAAGGTGCGACATGCGGAACATTGCGAATGTCGGATATGGAGAGCCGCGTTCTTCCGAAAACGGAATTATATTTGTCGTTGCTATGGCTTATGTACATGTTGTTATGGCAGTGGCACTGTTCATATTTGCAACCGTGCTGTCCTTCAGCTTCAACCATCACTTATACCGCCCCCGCCCCTCCTCCTACCCTTAGACATCGACCATGACAGCGTACTCTGCATTCTTTTCTTCTGGTCTCCTTGCTCCTCGTCACATATTCACGGCCAACCTCAATGTCAACTCCTTTATAGACTCGCCGTCTTCCCCTCTCTTGGACGATGCTAGCGACATCGAGGTCGACGACGACGAGCGGGCCCACATTTCAGTGCCGGAGACGATGGCTACTGCTAATTCTGTTTTGCGACCACGCCTGCGCAAGCGTCGGTCGAGTCTCAGCATCGGAACGTCCATCAATGCTCTCAAGTCGCCTGCGCGCAATGCAGGTAATGCCCTGCAGATCCAGATCCACCTCCAGGTGTCACCTTCACGTTCGAGGAGTGGTAGTCTTAGTTCGGTGATGGGCACTCTGGTAGAGAATGAATTCCGGCCCAACGTCGCCAGTGAAGGAACGAGCCTCGTTGGGCGAATACGGAGTGGCAGCGTTGGTACTTCTCTTCGGTACGTCTTCTCAACTTCTGCCTTCTTTGGAATTTCTGACGTGTGGTTTGCTGTCAGTCCCCGTAGACCCATTCGAAGGACACAGGCACCCTCGCCCTCTCTGCCCCCACCCACTGCTCCTCTACCTGAATTACCGTCCTGCGCACCTGACAAGCCCAAAATTACGTGGCCTTCGCGTAGACTGTCAACTCCTGATCATACCAGGCAACCGCTTGTGCAGAGTCTACAACCGACTTCTGCAGCTCAGCCGCAGCCCTTCCGTGGGGAGCTCAAAGGGGCTTTCGACGAGGGAATGAAAGAAAACTAGGCGCCCATTCCGCTCCGTCTTCCCAAAATTACCGTCTTGTCTATGTCGAATCGATCATCTATCCAACATATATCCTAATATCTATTCCCCTACGTTATTTAATCGGCACTACTTCTCTTACTACTGCTCTCTTCTACTTTGGTCCTGGTGGCCACATTCGGTTTTCTCTCTCCCTATGGATAGGGATTATGGTTACGATTTCTGTTTATTGAATTTACAGGTCACTATCCGGATTATCAGCCAAGCCTTCCTCCCATTGTTTTTTATACCTTGTATCGTTATGTCGTATACGCTTGCATTTTTTACCCACATCATTCCTTACGACTTCAACGACTTTGTACGACTACAATAATAGATTCATGTTGCATCTCTTCCTGTAAGTAGTCGGTCAGGATGTAATCACGGGCTGATTTGATTAGGTTAGTTTCCCTCTTTTGAACCATAATACGAAACTGACTGGTTCCTAGGTATGCTTCGGCCCCGGACTCATTTTCATTCGAATATGGGCTCCCGCTCTGGTTGCATTGATGCGAACGAACACAGTGCTGTTTGAAGGGACACGTAATGTGTCCAGCTTCTGAAGCTCTCATATGAAGTAGTCGCTGCGGCATTATCGTCACTTCCGGAGCTTCTGCTACCTGGCATCGATACCTATGAGATCCATTCTCGAGCTCGTCTTCGCTTGAAAGATAATTAAGTATATTCCTTCTCTTATTCTCTCGTGTCAAATTACTTCGAAAGCTATTCCATGGCTCCTTCTGCCTTACGAAGTACAGATGTGAACGAAGGGCTAGTCTGGGTCACGTTAAAGCTATTGACGATGAAGTATGTTCCTTTAGGACATATCTGCCTCCATCCCCTGATTGCCGTCATAGGTTGACTCGTTCTGAACATGGTTTCGTACTTCATGAGCGGAATGATGCACTGCTGATTGCAGAAAATGGTGTTGGTCCAGCTTCTTGCGATGCATGCCCGTCCTCGGAAGGAAGAGATTCAACCTTCGTCTTCTTGTGTACAGTGGGTATGCCCATTGTTCTGTCCCCAACCGTCGCAAAGGACGTCTGGGGATATATACCTGGTACGTGGTCGACTCGAGTCTTGTTCGTATCCATTATCACATGCGGTGACGAAGGATATCAGGTCGCTCATGATACGGGGTCTGCTGTGTTTGAACATGGACACTGACGATCTCGAATAGAGATGAAGTTGACGTCGTTTCGAGTGCCCAGGCCAGTCGGAGAAGGGTCTTCTGAGTCGGGACCGTAATTTATAGATGCTCCATGACCTGCGGGCAACGACATCTCGTAATGTACATAATCTCTATGCTTCGATATCAGGTATCTCGTTTTTCCATACCACACCTGAGGCACGGGCGACATCCAGGGAAATCTGGCGAACAGCTCTGACTTCGTCCAGGGTCGCGCCATTCCTCAAGGACCCCTTGAGATGCCAATCAACTTGGCGTGGGGTGTCATTCGCTATGAGAGCAGCCACCATCGTAAATGAAGTTTCCGCAGCCGAGAGTGCGCCAAAATAGCCGTAGGTGTACCCATATCCGAAGGTCGTCGAAAAGAAACCTAGTGATCGATGTTAGACGCGACTAGTCGCGTGTCAGTGCAGATAGAGCCTACCCAAATCAGGATATAGCTCCTTGAGAAAAGACTGTATCGTTGTTGCGGTGTCTCCGTATGTACGATCAAAATAATCTTGTCCGATTTGGGTCCATGCTTCGGTCGGTAAGGATAGATTACTACGCGAGCAAAGGAATCAGTGACAGTTGTGGTCTAAGAGATAATGAGTACCGAAGAGGTTTTGTATCGCGCAGCTCCTTAGGGATGAAAGGATGGAGCTGAGAAAGAGCATTGATAGCCTGTCGGATTCGCTTGGCATAAGTCACATTGATCGAAACACAACGCAGAACGTGCCTTAGGGTATCCAGACAGTAACCCCGATTTGAACAACGCGTCCTTCAGTTTCCTGACCAGCAACTGCCGTTCGTCATGCGTGTTCACACCTTCAAGAGCGTATTTGAACACTTCCGGAACAGCCTCCGGGAGATTACTGGAACTAAACGCTGTGGCTGCGACGAGAGACCATGGACTGACGATGCCCCGCGCCTGCCTGGGGTAGAGCGCTTCAATGGTAGCGAGGAATTCACGAGTGGCGATAGCTGCCATGACGCACGCAACCTGGGTAAGAAACAGAAAGAACGGGGTTGGCAAGGGATTCTACGCGGTCCGGGTCGTTTGTTAGAATCATTTACGATGGAAGGTATGGCGGCACCCCTCACCGCGTACATGGCCGATTAGCTCAGTTGGTTAGAGCGTCGTGCTAATAACGCGAAGGTCTTGGGTTCGATCCCCACATTGGCCATTATTTTTCCAACTTTTTTACAGGGATTAAACCTGCGGCGTGCGCTTTAAGGCCTTATGATCGTTTCAAGGTCACTTGAATCATTTCCTATGGTCTTGTCCCCTTACCTACGTATGTGTTCACTGTATTTTTCTCAAATGGACTCAAGCTGGTGGAGAACATATTGATGACAAATCATTGCGATCAGCTCTAGGGTGCGTTGTCAGCCGTTGTGCGCTTTCTTTCCCACCGTTCCCTACCGCCCCCCCTGTGTTTAGAATCCCAGGCATTTTCTTTTCCTATCTTTATATTTCCAGACCTGTATCCACCTAAGAGAGCACCAGGCTCTGCTCCACTGAAGCAATCGAGTCCGGGCCAAAGAGTCAGAAAGACATTGAGCAGACACCATCGCCGCTGTGGTTTCTGCCAGTATCAGATTCTTCCGTGATTCAGGCAGCATCTACACATAGGATTTTCTGCTACCGCAAGTCCACCTAGCGTCTTTTAAACTTCGTCATCGTCCATCCTTTCTCCTGCTTCGAAGCACTGGCAGCTTAGGGATGCCCAGCGTACAGTATACTGCCCGGGTTACTCCATAATCTGTATGATCCAATGACCTGGACAGCGCGGTAAGGGCATAAGTCACACGCCGAGTGGAAGCGGTGAGTAAATTAACTCCAACAGGTCTTCTGATATGATCGTTCCGACCACATCTTTCTGGCCATCAAGTCAGTGCAAGAAATCTGTTAATTTGGCTCTGTATTTGAGTCATTCTCATATGGTACGTACCTTCTCATTTCACTGTGTGTTAGTACGCCGTTAACGTTTCCGTGACCTTGTATCTACACTCAGTGATTATCAAACTCCCTGTCATCAAAAGCCTTCATTCCTTCCGAGTCTGAGATATAATGGGCAACGGCGGCGGACCCAGTGGAAATTCTCTTTCGCTGACGTTCTGTACATGGAAGTGCAGAAGTCTTGGTAAAGGGTAAGTGTTACAATAATTTGTGCCACCCATGGGGGATATTTCAGGATTGTTTTCATCATTGCAGTGCACCACGGCATCAAATATCCGGGAGGCATGCGACAGCCGTCCTCAGTGGATCATGGAATACTTCAGCTTTTTCCCAGGCCGGTCATTCCATTGCTCTCAAAAGGTTCGGTTCTGTACCTCGTAGGGTAAGTGACTTTCTTCCTGATGCTCCTATGTTAACGATCTCGATATGTATAGCGTGCGCCATCTCATGACTTTCTATCTCCATCTCCCTGTAGTCTAGTATGAGCAAATTGAGATGATTTGAGCCCGATCCTAAAATGCTTCTTCATATTTTCGGTCGCGCTTTCGCTTAATGTGATATCTACTCGTCAGAAAGATCATTTTCCATTGATTGGACCTATCGGATTATTTGTCATAAAACTCCGTTACCCATCAGCAAGGATATAAAGACCCAGAGCGGGCTGTGTGAGTATTTCATTGTGTTTACATTATGCACAATCGCCTCCCCGACGCTCTAGGGTGTATGTCTGTTACCTTTCACACTGCGTTCGACTTATCCATCACGAAATGCAGATATAGCTGAGACGTTGGTCATATGGGACTGCCTAATAAGCATCGATGACGAGGTTGGCACTGACCGTCTGTCTCGTATACCACTGACGAACCTTCACTAGGTCACTTTGTTCTGGGTATATACGTTTCTGTTCTTTCAACCTTAAAGGATTGTGGCCCTCTAAAACACTGGACGCAGTCGTCAAAGCCAACGTGGATTAAAATTTTGTTCTTTGTGGCAAGTCTCGATACCATGATAACGAGGCTATTTGATATGCTTATCACGATATCAGAATCGCTACCTTGGCATTGTCCTTCGAATATGGGATATGTTCAGTACGTCGAATTACGAATCGTGACTTTCCATCTGTTTAACTATCAACTTCCGAAGTCTTTCGATACGAAGTGAGCTGACGGCTTTGCCCGAGTCTTGTGGTGACTGAATATTTCACTACTTTTTTTTAAGATCGTTCATGACATGTAAGTTAGCTTTATTTGGTTGAATTGGTATGGCTTATGTAGTACTTTAGATGCGGAATTGGTGTCACCGAGTTTCGACCCCTCAGTATGTGACCTCGCCTTCTGATAGTGGGTAGTAACTACAACCAGGCTATGGAAAGATGTTTGCTATCTTTTAATAGACCCAGAGTCAATTATATATGGTACGTGTCATCTGTCTGCATTAATTCATTACGTCGTAGTCATTTCTCATGAATTTACTCCTACATCCAGTGGGTCTACAGCTCGTTGTGATGAATATCATAATGGCCGTTCGTGCATGGGTAATCATGAGGAAGCAGCACCACGTCCTGTTGATCCTCTTTGGTTTGCTCACCATTGGTGCATCTATCGTGATAGGCGTTCTTCCTATGCATAATCGTACAAACTATTTCTACTTGTGAGTATCTAATGGCCTGAGTCGTATCTTGGTACTAATCCCGCATGTTTAGCATACCGAATATGTTGTTTGAGGTGGCAATTTTGGCTGTTGTCGCATACCACGAGATCAGGTATTGGCGCAATTCTAAGACACTGGAATCTTCGTACGCAGGTGTATCACCGCCGGTCATAAGGCCAATCATGCAGCTGATGTTCGAAGATTCGATTCTGTATTTCGTGATGTGAGTTCATATTGGTGTTGACTTAGTCTTTACGTATGAGTACTAAAATGTACTCAGTATCATTGCCGTTCTCATAATAGTGCCATTTTTAACAAATGTAATGCCTCACTTGTACAGTGGGTCAACTTTAGCTAACGCTGCCTTTCATACAGACTGTGCCACTATGTTTGTCGGTTGCAAGTATCACCGTGACTCGCACGCTGCTTCGTCTGCGGAAACAGGCTCTCTTCGACTCTGATGGACCGAGTTCTGATCAGGAAGAGCTGTCAACTTTTAGAGTCCAGGCGGTGTCGAGAGGGATGAACTCATCAAGTGAAGTGGGAGAGGATAGATCTTCGTAATTTCATACAAGTCAGCGACTCTGATTCATACCCTTTTGTCCGGCCATCTAAAGAGAGAAACTGGCACCATACAAGGACCAGGAGATCCATTAAAATGGTAAATAGTATATATACATCATCGGAATTGGTCTTAGCGCCGTTCGCATAGACTGTGTAGCAGGAAGGTAAACCTCTAAATTTGTTTTCAAAGACGAGAACTATACATACAAGCGCTCTTGATGTTTGTGTGGGCAATAGTCTTTGGGGAACGGATGAGGAGCATCTGGGTCGCCGCAAACTTCCGGACTTTTTACTTCCTCAGTTTGATAGAACGACCTAAACACGCAATGTAGAAAAAGTGTCTTTGAGATGGGCTCAAAAGTATTATCTGCTCAGACCTCGGAGAAGCCGGTGTGATGACTGGAAAGTGACATTAGGAACAAGGGGCAAGCTTCGGATATTTGGATCGGTATCAGGCGGACCGTGGCACTACAGCTCTGAGTTACTTGCAGTCGGTCATGCTATAGCACCAAATCTCTGGAGTATAGCGGCGAGCTTTCTACTGACGAGCCGACGATAACCAATAACATGACAGGTAGATCGAATAAGGACCGAATAAACCAAGACATCCAGTTTCTACCTTCGAAGAAAGCGAAAACCTCAAAGAATCATGCTCGGAGTCGATATATTGCCTCACTAAATTCACCGGGGCATGGGATGGAGAATGCCCTGTCTAAAGACGCGGAATATTGAGGTTTCCCAATAGATGGCACGCACTGGGCTTGAGGAATGTCACCAGTCTAGTTGTTCTTGATACACCTCAAATGTTCTCTGTGGTATGCGCCGCCGATTCCATTTAATCTTCTGGGAGACCAGATTTTGCTATGGGGCTCAGGTTATGCTAATCATGCTAATGATTTTGTAACTGATGCCTGCATCTTTTCCAGCAAGGGTACGCCGGATATGCTGAATGTATCTAACGGCGTAACATACTGCCGTGCTAGAAGTCAGCTGTTTGACATGCAAAGGGCGAACTCGGTCCCTGTCGGAGCTCAAACAACCAACATGAATCAGTTTCTATTCGGAGCACGATTATACAGGAAAGATCAATCATTGTTGAACTGGAAAGAATTTCGAATTCAAGTCAATCCAAGAGAGAAAGGTTTCGAAATTTTAGTCTGACCTAAGTTGGCAGTCCTTATCAGTGTGACAGATCTCAATCAGAGCACTGTGATATTCAAGATTTATTCCCGACACTCATTAAAGGGACACGACCATTCGATTGAGTAATGAACCGGCCAAAACTACAATTTCGTCATCAGAAACTAACAGGAATACAAAATAAGACTATTCACTTTTTTGGGGATGCCTTCTCGGCTACTATACATAGATATGAAAGGGGAAAGGAAAGAGACGTAAAGCGTAAAGATTAGAATAAAAAAATGACGGTAGCGCGTAAAAGTGAGCGTGAAACAGTACAAGAAGATTCGTCGTCAACCTGAATTAAGCAACCTCAACCATCTCCCGGAAGGTGCAGCTCGCCTTGGAGCTCGAACTCTTTTGTCACCGTCAGTCGGATGAACGAGAATAGTCGGAGTGGTGACATACATCCGGCAATCCGTCCTCCGTAGGAGGTCCAGTTAGCACAACGCTACGATCCACATCACTCGTGAACTCTTTGGTCGTGTCGATTTTGATGGATATGTTGGGTCCACGACGGGACGAGTACGCGGAGGCTTTGGAGATGTCCTTCAGCGAGAAGCTGATTTCGCTAGAACTGTTGATACCTTCGGCGGCGGTGCGGATACGCTTACGGGCGTTCAGCGTGGCGAGGAGGGAGTTTGAGTATACTATCAAAAACAAATCAATATCGGTTGGCGAGCTCCCGAGAAATTGACTCACGTCGACCCATGCAGAAAAAAAACGTGATGTAGATGAACGTGTTGGGTGCCGTCAATATCTAGGTGCGATTAGCTTCTAGACGAAATGGAAAGACAACGCGACTAACAGAAATTAAGGATGCAACAGCAC